TAGCAAAATGCAAAACAACGCATTTGGGATGAAGTCAACCTCTTCAGCGGGTCCGAAGATGCGATCTACATGGATTTATAGCTACTAATAAAAGGAACATTTATGATTTATTTTTAGCATGTAACTTATTTTCTTGCTAAGTGAAAAATGCAGAGAAACGTATTGTTGACGTTAGTGAGGTGAAATCAACCCCTTCGACGAGACCGAAGAGGATGAGATCTACATGGCCTTATAGCTTCTAACTAGGTTAGGCCAGTTTCTAGCAGCAATTCCTCTGGACATTTGTGTGGAGGAGTTAGCAGCCAATTTTCACGAGTCGTTTTTTGTGCCACCTACTTACTTTTCAATAATTGCACCCTATTTCTAGCTGATTTAAACAAGAAACCACGATAAAGGGGCAATTTCACTCTTAATGTCAAAAATATACATTTCGTGGCCTAGTTGTCATATTTAACTGACCAACATTTGTCCAATCAGACCAACTAAAATCCCAACTAGCAAAGTAGTGCTATAAGCTTTTGGTAAAAGAACCGTTCAGCCATAAAAACTCTTTATTGTTGTTGCCTGAACACCAAAATGCTGGCTTAATGTTGTGTGGAATGCAAATTTGCTTTCTGCAACATATTTGCTCTAAAATGAGGTGTTTAAAATATTCTTATAGCATAGTTACACAATACCTTATAGGACAAATTTTTAACTGTTGTATAAACGTTTATACAACTATTTTATACGGCATATTTGCAGGTTAGTCAAAATGGTTGTGTTGTGGCATCCATGGTAACGTTTATAAAACAAACCCGAGCCTTGTTGTTTTGCTGTGCAAATTTACTACTTTAGCCAAAAATTGCTCCCAACGGAAGCACTTATACAACTGTTGTTTAGTAACTGTTAAAGGCTGTACATATGCTAAATATGTTGGTATACAACTTCACCATAACCTAACTTTCTGCTGTCATATTTTTGTTAAAATGCCATAACCAATGTTTTAAGACAAACCAGGCATGCATATTGGTTAAAAAGGTTTTATCAACTGTTCAAACAGAAGATATAGATCCGGTACAAATTCTAGGTAAATCATTCGACTCTGTCGGTATTTCATTTCAGACACTTCTCAAATTGTTGTATAACACCTGAAGGCAACACCAAAATATTCTAATAAACTAAAGACAACATGGAGGATGTCATGATTATACATAACCACCCGCCATATTGGGCAAACATTTATTCCTCTATTTGATATTAAATAATTATGTTTCAGTTCGAAATTACAGATATAAAGTGATAAACATTAGTGTAATTGTGTCTAAATATAAGATTTGTACAAGATTTAACGCAGATAAGTTCAGTTTTCCATCTTAAAAATCTAGACATACTTTTGATCATTATCAAAATATGAATCAAATACGAAGCCCGTAGAAATTGTGTAACTACTTTGTACGATAATCACAATGAAATTTGCTGCGCAGTTAATTCAATAGCCCTATATCACAATGTAGAAGTTTATCATATACCTGTGTATGAAATTCACAATGGCCGATATGTAAGTAAACAAGATGACTGTATTGTGTTAGTTATATATCCTTCACTTCGTCTATACAATACATAAGAAATAATTTGGCTGCAATAAAGTAGAATCACGTAACAGAATAGTTGTATAGTTGACAAAAACTGAATCTTGCACTGACGCAAATGTCCTATAGCGGCTGCAAGAGGCTTACACTTTTGTTGTATAATTGTTACTTGCAGCCCTTATACAATCTCTTAAATGACTGAAGTGTCCTATTAGGTGTGCCCATTCCGCTTGTATAGCTGTTCTAAGAGGGTTTTGCCTATGTTCTTACAGTATACAATGCTGTGTAAGGAATACTGTATAATCATTCTTGCAACTCTAATAGGAGTGATAATTGTTAGTTGGGATGTTTAAGGTCATTAATTTCAATATATTAAAAACTCTTCAGAATGATAAAGACAACATATTTTTATACACACTAACATTGTTCCTGATACTTCACCGAATTATACATACCAGTAAAAATACTTGACAAAAAATTATCGACAATCTGTAACTCAAGGGATGTTTTAATCAAATCAATACGATCGTAGATAATTCACCAACTCACCCAAATCTATAACATCATCTTCACTGCACTCCTGTTTAACCACGGCCAGTAGTGTCTGTTTTGATTCCATTATTTATAAATTTTGAAATACCAAGCTAAAACAAACAAACATTCTAAGATAAATGATACTTTCAAAAGCTCACTAACTTTTAAGCACATGTTTACCCTAGTTTCAGTAATTAGTAGGGTGCTTTTAGCTTTATACCTCAGAAGGGAGAAGAGCTTAATAGACTTTTGATATTATTTCCGGAATACATTTAAAATAAGGCGTAAGCTGCCCAATTTTCGAAAAATTGCCTAATAATAATCGCTGCTGTGTCATTGCCATCACAAACACTGAACTTAATTCCTATACATTTCTGAGCTGGCTTTAGTAGGAGATTAACAAAAAAAAAAACAAATGATTTTACAGAAATGTAGAATAGTCATTATTCCTGTTACTTTTTGTGTTTTCCTGAATTGTTTATGTTTTGTGGTTTTTGTTAGTTTTTGAGTGACCATATTATGAAGGATAAAAGACCAAATAAATAGTACAAAAGACAATAATACAATGTGGTTTCAGTTTCCTATAGTAGCAGCTTCATGGACTAGCGTATTTTTTATGAAAAAACATGAGTGTGTGTGTAACATCATATTTACTAAAGAATCTTCCAAATCAGGCAACTAATTCTGACAAAAATATGCTGTAACCTTGACTATCCTTTTTTTATGGTGCTTTAATTTCTTGGAGAACAGAGAAGGTAGGCTAGGGAAAGGCATATGAACTCAAATTTTATACATTTGCAGTTCTTCGATTTAGAAAAGATGCGTTCACACCGAGTAATTACCCGCCAGAGTAATGCAAAAATGGTTACTCGGTAAAATGGGCCTAGTACGGAGAGCACCAGGTACAAGCCAAGTCTCGATGCATCGCTAGAAAAATCAAGCAAATGTGGAACAGACAAGAGACAACGTGGAAGGTGCAAAATGTTCCTAGATTACTCAAATTTCATTCATCAAGACTAAAATAATAGAACTCCGGACCAGACGGCTGTTCACGATATAAACAAAAATATGCAGCTCTGATGGAAAGAAACTTCAAGGACGACGGCAGAGCATCAATAGGATCTTTTGAAGATGCTCATATGAAATAGATAACTACCTTATTGCTCTAGGAATATGCCAATTTTGATTTTTCAAATGCAGTTTGTTTATAAACTAGATTAACCTAGACACCACGGAACGCCTAGTTTGGATACTTGACTCTTAGTACATCATACACTTTGATGTGAGGGATTGTGGGAGGGTAAGATGGTCGTACTGGTTCATTTATCACTTTTTGGAACCGATCTTAAAGCTTTCGTAAATATGTTAAGAAACATGCTTAGTATTGATGCGGCTGAAACGGTAAAAAGGCAGCAGTGCCGAAAATTTGACATTACCACTTCTACCGACGTAATTTGGGTCCAAATAAACATAAATCGATGCTGTTATCACGTAGTTCGATTGTATTAATGTCTTTCTATGTACTGTAAAAGTTTTACCCCCCTCCTCCAAAAACTTCTTCAAAGTGAGGAGTAACGTGAAAAATTTGATATTACATCAACATAAAGCTGGAGAAATGGGGTTTTCGCGTTAATTGATTGGAAAAAGCATAATTATTTACGCTAAGTTCAAATCCGTGCTATCTCGTTCACAGACACCCTAAATTGATCCCCTTTAAAACTTAATATTTTAGAAGCTATATAATCATCTATTAGCTTTTTAAAACCGCCCAAGACCAAAATGTTTTTGTCCCTTCTCGCATGAATATGACTTAGTCAATCACACCCTATCAGCCGATTCCCCAAACCAAGTCCCCCCCCCCTTGTTTATATACTGAATTTTAAAAATAGCCTATTATTCATCAAAATGGCTGAAGGCCTACAAGTTTTTTGTAGTACTTGCATCAACATAACCTATTCTATCACACCCTTCCCCCCGTTTTTGACCACTGTTTATACACAGCAAATTTGAAAAAATTATTATTCGTAGAAATCACCGAAGACCAAAAAGGTTACCGTTACCATCCGTTTTTCCAAAGCAAGTCCAGAACCCCCGTTTTCAACCTTCCTTTGTTTATACATAGAACATTTGAAAAAACTCTATTGAGCATTTCCCCACTAACTGGAAAATAGCAGTCCCAGGCAAAATTTATATAATAGATTTTATTATTACTAAGTTCTATGTAATAACAACAATGACCCATTAGCTATTCTTGATACTCCATTGTTAATTTACTAATACAGGGTAGTGATGTAAAATAATTAAGTAACGCTTACAAAATAATCGTTACAAATGAGTAACTAAATGTAACGAGTCCTACTTTTTGAAAAGACTCGTTACTTTTTATTTGAATTCGTTACTTTGAATGCGATACGGTCTTTTTCTATGTATACTTTTTAATTACTGTTAGTTACTATACTATACATTACTTTAGATACAAACGTTACTGGGATCTAATGTAGCCAGTACTGCCAGCGCCAGCAGCAAGTGACTGGGTTCTTGGATGTAAACTGGGTGGAAATGAAATGATGCGAATATCGTTAGGCTTAGGCAACTTTAGATACTCTTCTATCAAACGAGTTGCGGACTGCGGAGCTTTAGGTTGGCAATGTTTGTGTATACCTGTACACTTTTCATTTGACTTTGAGAGCTAGCGGTTGGCGGGTTGTACTGGTTTGGACGTTGCCGTACAAGCTCGAGCAATAATATAATTATTATTTGTACAAAAATATGGAATCATCCGAGTCCGGTTCAGGAGAATCGCAAACTCAAAAAAGAAGTGTTATTTGGATGCATTTCACCAATATATCGGAAGCTAATGCAAAGTCTAATCTTTGTAAAAATATTTATTCGCATAAAAATGGAAACATTAGCAATTTAAGGAAGCATTTGAAAACTAAACATCCGACTCTTTCATTCTAAGGAGAAAGGGCAAAACGGCGAGTGGAAGACGAAAATATGCCTAGGTGCAAAAGGAACTTAGTTTCAGGTATGTCTTATTATTATAAGTATTTTGTTGAACACCATTTACAGTGGAGTAACCAGACTGTTAAGTAGGGCAGGGGAGTAACCAGACTATTAGGGCAGGGGACGCTACTCAACTAAAGTAAAGAGTGAGGAGAGTGGTTCCTCCACGGTCCCCATCTGGTTATGCCACTTGTTAAATACTATTTACAGCGTACAGCCAACGAACCAGACGTCACACAACGACGAGTTTAAAATATAAGTACCTTCTACGTATCAAATATCAAAAAAATTAATAGGCAAGGCATTAGACAAAAAATAATAATTGGATCAATCCCAAAGTAATAATTTGATATAATATATAGAATGTAGGTTCTAAACGAAATGTACAAATAGTAACTAAACTAACGAGTCCAAAGTTCGAAAGTAACGAGTCCTTACAAGTCCTAAAAAGTAACGAAACTTTGCATCACTAATACAGGGAGCTTCATTTATTACTTTTTTTCTATTTGAAAAATCAACACGCCTTTTACGAGGTGAAATCGAATTTTTTTATTGATAATGAAGGCTGGTTTATGCCATTTATGTATGAAAAATAACATCAGTCATGTGACCACTGTGTCTTCGTTTACAGGCCAACATCCGAACATCAAAATTTTCAATGACTTTTCCCAGAATAATCGGGTCTATGGCCGCAATTTCAGTCCGAATATTGCGCTTTAGGTCTTGAATTGTCCTGGGACCATTCGCATACACTTTTCCTCTCAAAAATTCCAAAAAAAAAATAGTCAAGAGGTGTTAAATCGCACGATCTCGGGTGCCAACTGACATCTGAATGTCGTGAAATTATGCGGTCTTGAAATTTCGTGTGCAATAAGGCGATTGTTTGGCGAGATGTGTGAGCCGTTGCTCCGTCTTGTTGAAACCAAAGATCGTCGGCACCAATACGATCCAATTGTGGCCACAAAAAGTTTGTTGACATGCCGCGATAACGTTACCCGTTGACGGTAATGGCCTTTTCTTCTGCATCTTCAAAGAAGAATGGTCCAACGATGCCACCAGCCCATAATCCGCACCAAACAGTTATTTTTTCAGGATGGAGAGGTTGTTCATGATATTGGTGTGGATTTTCAGCCCCCCAGAATCTGCAATTTTGCTTATTTACGCACCCATTGAGGTGAAAATGAGCCTCATCAGAAAAGAGCACTGTGGCCGAAAATCCGTCTTCTCTTTCCAGCGTACAATTAACAAAAACACACCGCTGTTGATGGTCTTCCGGCTTCAATTCTTGTGTTAGTTGGATTTTGTATGGATGGAGGTATAAATCAATGTGTAAAATCCAGCGTAAAGTGGTCTCACTAATTCCCAATTGTTGCGACCGGTGCCTAGTCGAGGTGGTTGGATCTTCTCGCACACTTTCACTCACTGGCTATGTTTTCACGAGTACGAGCTGAACGAGCATGTTGGTATGGTCTACGACCTTCAGCTGAACCAGTTTCCTCAAAACGATTAACAATCCAACGAATTCCAGGCTCTGTAGGGCGTCCATGTCGGACAAAACTAGTGCGAAGTTTGCGAAAAGTATTTTTTATATTTCGACCGTTTTCGTAATAAGTTTGGATAACCAAAATGCGTTGTTGTGTTGTAAACGAATCCATGAATATAAATGGCATACCTTTTGACAGTTCATTTATGCATACCTCATAACTTTTTACTCACATGGTAACACATAAACTTATAGGTAAAAAAAGTAATAGATGACGCACCCGTTATAATACTGTAATATTAAATTTAATGCAGTTCAAACACCCCTGTCGGGTCCCATTTTCAGTACTAGAAGCCTTATGAAAAATGTTTGCTATTACTAAATTACTGATTAAATTATATATAAATCATACTGGGATACTCTGTATGTTTAAAAACCACAATTATATTTTTAAAATAAAAAAATAATTAAGAAACTGAAAGCCAAATGTTGTTCCCAAATTTTTTGAACCTTCCCCAGCCACAACTTGAAATGGCGCTAAAACGAACACACCCGATGGAAAGTCCACAAAGCTGCAGAGTGAGCGGATGGACGCCGTTTTAATTAGTGTCATTGTTGCGTTTGTCTGTGAACCACGTGTCTTGGCTGCTAGTTTTAACAGTCCACTGGTAAGTAATTTTTTTGTTGATTTGAATGATTAAATTAAAATAATTATATAACATGATTACCCACAAAGTATGTTTTCATATCTCTATCTGTTCATTTTGTACACTTTTGGAATAACTGTATGCAAAGAAACATTCTTTCTTAAGATAACAGTCCTCTGGGTACAGTCCCCTGACAATTTTTGGGACATGAGACTGTTTTATTCTACAGGGGAATGTTTCTTTCAGGCAACGTCAAGTTTGATTAGCCAGGCTAAACTGTAATTTTCAAAATATTGTATTCCTTTCAGTTAATTCAGGATTACAGCCAAAAAAGAGCCACCCAAAACCAGTGAAAAAATCTTAAAACAAAAACTCGTGGCCGAACGTTTGAGATACGAACGACTTTTGTAGACACAGTACAAGCAAGACGTCTTGGAATTACAATGGTTACGATTGACGATGAAGCTATACAGAAAATGACTGAAGATATTAAAAAAGAAGTCGCTGATTAAAAAAGTTCCACGAGTATCCTCAAAATACACCACGTGAAGGTAAACATATCAAGGTGTCCATTGGGGTTTCTCAAAGGCACTACCAAGCTCGTAATGAAAAGTTTGGTTTTGTGACGACGAATGCTGGCATTTCAGAATAGGCGATCTCAAATATGAAGATAAGGGAAAACTCAAAGTTGAAGAAGTTTACATGGATTCTGAATATGAATTTGATCCAGCCCTTGACTTACCTGATACCAACTCTGTTTTACAAATCCATGTTCCACAGCCATGTAAGCAGTCTAATACTAATTTGGAGAATATTGCCAAGCCTGGTATCATGAACCAGTACAATGTACAGTGATTATGCTTTACTAGTTTTCTGTTAAAAAAGCAGAATTCCGATATGCTGCAGTGATAAATCAAATTGATTATGAGAAAGATGAAGTGACACTCACATTTATGAAAATTTGTGAAGATAAGGGCCAACCGTTTAGATTTGATGAAAGCGATGTTTCTGATGTTCCTTTGGACCAAATATTAGAAAATTTACCAAACCAAAATTTAACTCCAAAAGGGTAAAGACTGCTTTATATTTTAATACTTTACAGTAGCTGTAGAAAATAGGTTGATTTTAATATTTACTTAAGGTGCATTAGTAAGACTGATTTGTTGTAAGCTGTAATAGTTACAGTAAGAGTTACTAGTTAAGTTAAATAAAGCTTCTTAGCTCAGAAGCTGTACAGTATTAAGAAAATTAATTTTAGAAATAGTTTTTTCCTAAATATCCAAACTTTATTCTAGTATAGTTAAAATAAATAAAAACAAATAGTTCGATTGCTTAGATTCAATTAAAACATGTTTTTTCCTCTCATACAAACATTCCCCTGGATGAGGATAAGAGTCCCCTGTCGTAATTTTTTATAAATTCGTCCATAATTTGAAAATAAATGGCGTTGTGTGTGGGCTTTTGAACCGGCATATTACTTTAATTAGTATCTCTCAATTTTTCTATATATTTTCTTAAGTTATCAGAATATTATGGTTGGGACAGTTTTGTATGGGCAACTTTCCAGTTAGTAGAGAAATACCCGCTTGTCAAACTGGCCGAAGACCAGAGTTTTTGCATTTCTGGCATCGATATAACCTACCCAGCACACCCTTCCAGCCGTTTTCCGAAAGCAAGTCCCGAACCCTCCGTTTCCGACCCCCCTTTGTTTATAATGTACATAGCAAATTTGAATAAATCTATTATTCGTCAAAATGGTCTCGACCAAGTTTTTACAGTTCTGGCATCAATATAACCTACTCTATCACACCCAACCAGCCGCTTTCCCAAAGCAAGTCCGGAACCCCCCGTTTCCGACCCCCCTTTTGTTTATACATAGCAAATTTTGAAATATCGTCAAAAAGACCAAAGGCCAAAAAGTTTTTTGCAATCTGGAATCAATATAAACTACTCTATCATACCCTACCAGTCGCTTTCCGAAAACAAGTCCGGATCCCCCGTTTTTGACCCCTCTTTTTTATGCTGAATAATGCACATGATGTGCTGCTCTGTCTTCTAGTTCCTCATACTGCTTATTCTTGGATAAAATGACAGTTGTTGTAGCCACTGTTTCTTACTAAAAAGATTTTTTGCGAGTCCACGCTCCACGGTGTAGCACAGTGCACTACCGGAAACCGATACTCAAATTTTCGCGACGAATAGGGGAAGACGGATGTGACGTCATCAGAATGTCAAAAAATCGCGTGGTACGGGTACCCGTCTAACGTCTGTGAGGTACTAGCGGGTGACAAAAAATTTGGCTTCGCAGTGCGGAAAATTGAGTTAAATTATTAAATCACAAATGGAGGAACACGTCCACCTGATTTTAAATGACGAGGGAGAAGGTCGTCGAAGATATATGAACCGCACTTGTCATATCAAATGATTGATTTTATTGATATATATATATATATATATAATATTGTTTATTGTCACAAAATACAAGTAAATATCAAATATTGTGCACAATAAACATAAAGCACCCAAAAAAAGTTTGCACTTGTGTTTGGGTTTGTACAAAATAAAAACTAATAGTACAGTCAGTGTATGAAAAAAAAAAAGAAAAAACCCCTTAATACTGTATAATTTGGTGAATTATTATTTTGGTAATGTCAGGAAAAATATCCAGACAATTAGAACTGAAGTAAAAGTATGGATGTTAGTGTAAGTAAAATATTATTGATTTTGATAATGATTTTTCAGATCTACAATTTCGTGGATGGAGTACCTTGGTTGTTGTAAAATCCATTTTTTTAGTTGTTTTTTAAATGATTTATTTGATTTAATTACTTTTAATGACTCTGGTATGAAGTTATAGAATTTTGGTCCCAAGAAAAACAGAGATCGTTGTGTAATGGTTTTTGATGTTTGTGGAATACACATTGAATTTTGATTGAATCTTGTTGGGTAGTTATGAATGGTACGATTAAAGTATTTTGAATATTTGAAATAATGTATTAGACCACAATAAAAATAAATTTGTCTGCAATCTAATAGCTGAGCCTTCACATATAGAAAATCACTTGAATAAGTAATCTCCCTATGGAGGATCAATTTTAGAATTAATTTTTGGATTACCTCAACCTTTTTGTAATTATTATTCATAACTCCCCCCCAAGCCAAAATTCCGTAAAGTAATAGAGGATAAACAAGAGCATAATATAGATTATATAGATATTTCTTATCTAGAATATCTCTGAAGTACCTGAATTTTGGAATAATACATCTCAGTCTCTTCACAAGGTACTCTGTATGGGTATCCCATTTTAAATTTTGTCCAAATTCATATTTTATTTTATCGGCTGACTGAATCTCTTTGAGACCACTGCTTGTATGAATTTCAAGTTTTTTAAATTGTGGTGAGAGCCTGTCGTTACAAGAAAATGCTATATAGTGTGTTTTGTTGTAATTAATTGTCACAAGTTCTTTCCGAAAAGAAATTTATAAATGCTTTGAAATCATGTTCGATTGTGGTTTTTAGTGTATGCCACTGGTTGCTTTCATAGAGAGTAGCTGTATCATCCGCAAAACCGATAACTTTACCTGTACTACTTATTTTGAACAAATCGTTGATAAATAGATTAAATAAAATGGGTCCTAATACTGAGCCTTGAGGTACACCGTATGATATAATATGGGGTTCACTGAATGTGTTATTAACCCTACGTTAGGCGCGTGGTATATTGTAATGAGTTTAATCGCGTGGTCTACATATGTAGACCATTTTCTAATGTCATTATGTGACACCTTATGTCACATGATTTCAAAACAATGTTGAAAATACATGTATTCATAGATATATAGTTCATGGTAAATTAAATTTTTAAAAGCATTTACATTTTTAGTTACTTGAGAAAAAAAACAAAAAATATGTTTTTTTATCCCTTTATTAGCTTCTGGTTAGCTTTGAACAACAACACAAAATCTTAACGCACTAAAATTCAACCAAAAGTAATTTTCTGATATTAGCAGATAGCAACTTACATTAAAATACTATTAACAAAAAAAAAACTCTTTGACATTCATTAGAAAAGTAAGGACAAAGTAAGAATATTTTCAGTCGGGCAAACAGTGAATGCATATGTCTGCCATGTGTTGTTTGCATGCATAACGTTTGCATTTCACGCAAGCTTTTCTGGAAGATTTGTTGTGACTTCGAGGACAAACATGACAACGACCAACGTAGTTTTCTGGTTTTGGCGGTAGAGGAAGAGGGGCTACAATAGCTTCAAGACCAAGAAGAGCACGTGCTCGTCTTCTTAGTTCTACCGGTAAAGAGGTGATAATTGACCTCGCCTCTATCTGCGGCTTGATCAATTCCCAAGCAAATTCCTCAATAAATGCACTTCTAAGGACTTTGTTTTCTAAGGGATGATTTGCTTTATACACGCAAACGGCGTTTATGCCCGATATATTCAATAGATCGAAGAATATTACCATAGGCCAATGGCATGTGTTTCTTGCGACACTATAATTCACACATAATTGATCTTACCAAATCAACACCAATTTTAGTTTTATTGTATCGAGTTATTGTATCTGGTTTTTTTGCATCCCCTGTTCCCGGATCAATGGCATTATCATGATGCATGGAGGACACCAAAATAACAGATTTATTTTTCTTTGGGCAGTAGGATACCATCGTAATATCTTTTTGAAAACCAAAGAATAATGTTTTCTCTTCTCTTTGTTTATTAGGTAAGAACTCCACAGGGATCTCACGCTTATTCTTCCGCATTGTACCAATGTATGTTAATTTTTTTTGCTGTAGCAATTTTCTTGTCAACGGAATGCTGCTGAACCAATTATCTCCGGTAAGATTGCGATTAGTTCCCTCTATTGGTTGAACTAATCGTAATACAATATCTTCGGCAGAATTGTTCAACTTATACGGGCCAGCAGGTTGAGTACCAACGTATGGTTCGTGATTGAAAGTGTACAAAGTTTTAGCATCAACCAGAGCGAACATCTTTACTCCGTACATCGCTGGTTTATTGGGTGCTTGACTGCTGAAATTAGTAATGAAATACTATATGTTGCTAGTAAATGAGGATCACAATAAGATGTTCGTTAAACATTTTAATTTTAGTGAAGACCGACTGCTCAAAGAAAAAGGGGTGTTATTTGCACAAAAATGGAAAAATGGGTCGAATCCAAAAAATCATTGGAAGATTCTAAAGAAAATGCCTTTTGGATGAATTTGAAATGAAAAAACAGCGATTGATGAAAGAAAACAAAAAGAAACTGGAAATAATGCAACTAGAGTATGAAGAGAGAAAAAAGAGGGAAGATGAGGTACATAACATTAAAATGGAAATGTTAAATATGGAAAAACAGTATCTGTTAAATAAATATAAAATTTGATTTTCTTAATCTTGCCATCTTATTTACCTATTTTGAATAAATACATAAAATCTCCAATATTCTTTATTGCATCATTTATATCTTTCACTTTCACTTAGTATGAAACGAAGATAACATTAGAAAAATACTAAAAACTGAATTTTTGAATCATTCACAATAAATCCTGGAAATAATTAATTAACAATAATCATGTCCTATTATTAGATGCATCTTGACCTCCAACTGGGACTGGTACAATATCAAAGTTGTTAATGAATTCAACTGCTGCTTCAATTTCATTATTTATTGAAGGTTGTGGGTCTTTCATGATAATTGCTAGGTTATGCAAGGCTGCTGTTGCAACAACTACTGGCTCAATTTTTTCTTTCGCTACACGAATTCCAAATGCTAAGATGGGGAAACGTCTTTTCCATACCCCGAAGCATCTCTCGACAGGATTCCTAGTGCGAATTTGAGATTCATTAAATAAGTGTTGACTCCGAGTTTCAGGTCGGCTTAGTGGTGTGATTAAATATGGCTTAATACCATAACCACTATCTACAACCAACAAACTGTCGCCAAAATGTCCGGTTTCAAATAAGGCTCGAACTCTACTATTTGCAAATATATTTGCATCATGTGATGCACCTGGCCAACGGCAAACTATATTTTGTATTTTCAAAGTGGCATCGCAAATCACCTGTACATTATAGGAAAAGAAACCTTTCCTGTTCCTATAATTCTCTGGGTCTGCACCACCTGGAGATTTTATTTTAATGTGGGTGCAGTCTAAAGCTCCTATGCACCTAGGAAATCTAGCAATATTGAAAAATTCTTGACGTATCACAGTTCTCTCTTCGCCATTTTCAGGCATTTTTGTTAATTCTTTAAAATGGACTAATGATTTTATAACTTTCGACACAACCCTGCTTGCAGTTCCTTTGTCTATACCTTGTACATCCCCTATTACTTGCAAACAGGACCCAGTTGCAAGGTAACGTAGCGTAACAAAGACCATATCATCTGGCGTGAGGGCATGATTTCTATAAAAAAATAGCTTTTATACACATTTGTCCAAATCCCACCCGCATTATATCAACCCAGGGCCATTCATGTAGAGTGAGTAGCCTTTGAGCAGCTCAGATAGTTTTTGCAAATTCACCGACAATGAAAGAATGATTTTTCAATTTAGATGCAACACAGCATTCCCATAAGTTGGTGTTTGTATAAATTTATAAAAAAATATGTTTAAAAATATATATATATAAAATTTGAAATAGGTAATGATATTTATTCTTCAATTTGGAGCACAATATGCACCCGTCAGGAATGGCTCTGATACCTAGTATTTATAAATGAACTTACTGTATTGTTATATTTCTGATATCATCTGCAACTTTATCTATTATGGATCTAACAGTACTTTTTGATAACCGAAAACGTTGCAAGAATTGAGTGTCGTTCCAAATCCGAAAATTATCAGGTCTCTGTTTGTAAGTTTTGGGTAACCTGGGTATATGTACGATGGTAATTAATTCTAAGAAGTTCTCGTCATCAGTTATCTCTTCGGGAATGTCCATTTTTAAACTTAACGCACAACTCCTTCGCTAAACTTTGCTACGATATTTATGTTACATTGAACTGAGTTTAACCGAGGGACATCGACCGGTCAGGTTCTATGCCTACTTGAACTGGGTTCAAGCCTTGAGCTTTATTTGTACAACTGATTTTCAACTTAGAACTTAGTTCAATCTGAACAGCGGTTTAAACTGGAGTTGAACAACTGGCCCTATATAGTACAAAACAACCGGATCTGTGGCAAAAAAACACAGAACGCCCGCGTTATTAAAATACCAACTTGAGAGCCTTAAAACGGATTATCAATTGAAATTGGCGTGCTAATTATAACGAATTGAAACTATCAGGCAACCACAAAAAAGTTTTCAACAGCTGTCAGAGAGCTTCCCAAAAACAGGTATTTGAAATTTATAAGGTAGGCTTACATTATAATTTATTATTCGTTTTTAATTCAGTATACTGACACAAGAAGAAGAATTCAGAAGAAAAACAGACTAGCATGGGCCAAAGAGCACAAATTATGGTCTCCAAACCAATAGAACTTCATATGCGTTGGTAATAGTAGGAGTTGTGTCATAAGAACTAAAGAAGAAGTGTTTCAGAATGAGTGTCTTATAAAAAAGTCAAGTTTCCGGCTTCTGTTATGATTTGGGATCTATGTCAGTAGTGCAGCAAAACATTTTTTGACAATCGGAGTCTCCAAACCTACAAAATTTTATTACACACCTTGTATACTAGAAATTCATATTTCATTTTGAGCCATCTCGTAGAGTTAGGGATTGAAGGAGACTCACCTATCGGACGCCGAATCATGCTTGTCACTTTGGTCACTCTCAGTTTTGATGTCAAATCTGTGATGTAGCCCCAACGCTCCTTAAATCTGGTTTTTCTTCCAGCTTGTCAGATTCTTGGGACTCCATTTTCATCTGGTTAACTGTATCTGCTGCTGAATCAGCTTCAAGTCCAGGCTCTAATTTCTCTTCAACTTTAATTCTAAAATGGTAATAAAGAGGGCGTTTTAATACAAGGCAGTCAATTTACAAGATGATTCGAAAAGGTTCCCCTTCCCAGCTATTTTTTGAATGGGGTGACGAATTTCATGCATGAATATTATATTTTAGCTTTTTTTAACCATATTTATCCTGAGGATAGATTAGCATTATTTGCAAAAAGGACCCCTCAACAATTGTCTTAAAGTTTTCAACCATTTACCGAAAGTTAGGAAAAAGATTGTAAAACTAAGTACATTTAAAAAAATATTAAATAAACTATTACCATCACAATAGATTACTTTTTCAAGACAGATTTGACTTAAATGGTTCAGAGGAACTTTTTGGTTGATGCTACTTGTATCACAAGTGGTTTATTTGTATAGCATTTCTATTTGCAAATAAAGATTACGGTTATTATTATTATTGTTAGGGTAGCAGTGCAACATGTCAAAATGATGGTAGGGCCCCACCTTGGAGCATTTTTCCAGAGCATTAACGCTGTTTGATTATGTAGTTTTTTCTACAAGACGTCAACTTTGCACTAGCTGTTGTACAATTGTTATGTATGTGTTGCTTCAGCTGTCACTGTTTGTCTCTGATGTGATATAACATCTGTTTCAGAGATGGCAGTATTGGAGGTTTAAGCTGTAAATTGTATACTATAGCTGGATGGAAACGCGTTGCATAGGTTCATAGTGAGGATTTGTGTGTTAATTATATGTGTTGATGATAATTCCATTGGTTTCTTGTCTCAAATACACTTACTTGAGATGTATGCAAAGCTAAGAATTTGTTGCGCATCTGCTTTTTCTTATTTAACCCAGAAATTACATTTGCAAAAAAATTTGCTGAAATTCAAAAAAGAGAGTGATAAGAATAGAAAATCTCTGGTTGGTGAAGTATATTAAAACAAACAGGTGAAAAAATATGGTACATACAGGAATACTTATGAAATGTAAAATAGTTCTTACATTTTATGATATTTTTGATGGTGCTCAACAATCATCTTGAAATTACTAATAACATACCTATAATACTTGTGCATTAATTTCATCACCCCAAACTTCTGCTAAGTTGACCTGTTTGAAAATTAAGTATGGGGAAACATTTTTAATGAATACCCAGTATAAATGACTCATTTGTTTCTAAGGTATTTCTTGAATTGAATAGATCCAAAACAAAATTAGGACGTACCTATCAAATATGGCATCTTCACATTCACATTTGATGTCAAACTCTTCATTTAGCATCAAAGTGTCCATATTTTCTATCTTTGTGTTTTTCACAGTTTGTTCTGCTTCTGGTTTTTCAGATTTAACACTAACTACTAACTGATTCTCCATTTTCACCTGGTTAACTCCATCCCAGTGTTCATCTTTGACACTAAAATAATATTATTATAACTATCAAGCACCATCTCTAGGCTGTGTGTTGCCACTTCTTGGACTGTTGCTGAAGGGATTTTTTCTGTACCATTTAGATGAGAATATAAAATATTAAGAAAAATTATGAAGGATGTTGAAAGGTGATCTTTACTTGGGAGGCTGATGTCACATGTAATAATAAACAATTTTCTTTAACATGTTCGCTTCCAGACATATTTTTTAACATGTGTCCACCATGCCAAACATACATTTTACATTGAGCACTAGTGGGACACCATATAAAAAAGATGTCAGTCCCATTGGGGCCACATTCCTCATTATGGAAAAATCTAAGAAATTATATGTGCGGCCTATAGCTTCTAGGCCATGTTGGTCCATTTCTGCAGGCATACATAGGTAAATGAGCGCCAACATGGCAGTGAATGTGTTAAAAGGAAAGTGGAATCTGTTTTTATTACTTTAAATGGAATTAGTTACTTGGCAAAATGGCTGTGATGGTTAAAATTTTATGTGAATATCCAAATACAACATGAGGCTGGGTATCTCCTTGGAGAACATCTTAAACAATGGCATAAATATTTATAAAAGAAGTGACGAGGTACTCTACTATTTTCAAAGCTCCTAAATTTGCCATTGCATGGTAGATAGGTACACCTCATTGTACCATACAATGAGAAAGCTATTTGAATGATTCTTGATCAACTACTTATTAATAGATTTCTTACCTCTGCAATGTTGAACTGAAACTCATGCTCTTGGTTCCTCTACACGACTTATTGAATGTCCAGTCTTGATTTCTAGGATATATATAATGAATAAAATAATTCTATGACATATTATTTATAAAAAATGAAATCTTAAGAAAATGACATGCTGAAAAAAGTAAGGTTATTTTGCAAAGCACAGAGCACAGGAAGAAACCTGACGGAAATTTAAATCTGGCCAATCAGACATCGTCAGTTGAGAATAAGCCATATTTTGAGGGAGCGACATGGTTGTCATATTGTGCACCAGCAACACTACGTTGTATCCCATTCGCCAAAATGAGTTTCACCCCCCCTTGACTTGACTTAGCTTCTTCTACTCCTCAGGGTAGACCGGGGGCCTTTTGCCCAAAAATTACTGAGGCTCTAACTGGCAGAGAAACGAATCTCTTCGACAAAAAATGCCAAAGATAGATTATACATTATGAAAATTTTACGAAAAAAGTAGTCAATGTAACGAAATAAAGAATAAATCATAGTTTTAGATGTTCAGATTGTTAAAGAAGTACTAATCTAGGTCTTTTGTGTTTGCGAATGGATGCAGGATCATATGTCACCGCATCTCTTATTTGAATGTGAAGTTGCACGTTCGTAACTTTTGCTTGCAATTTGCTTAATGAATTGAGATAAGAAAGGAATATCCAGGTCATGATGAATGGTCGCGTCAGATACATGCCACGGAGCATGCAGTATTGTTCATAGAATTTTGTTTTGTATAACTTGCAATTTTGTAATGTTTCACCCTCCTGCTACCTAGTACCTACCGTTTACCGTTGCTGCATAGGCAAAAATCACATTTAAAAACACCAAAGCTCAACCCAGTGGTGCCAGAGGTCTCCTTAAAAAGTCGGTAGATTAAACCTTCTAAATATCGGTAGATTTGAGAAAAAATCGGTAGTTTTTCTATTAATATGATTTTTAACGCTAATATTTGTATGTATGTATGATATATAAGTAAAACGCTGTAAAATAGTAGAAACTTATTTACTAAGAAAGAAAATAAGTAAATAAATGAACACAACTTTTAAAAACATATTCAATATAAAATAATATGTATAACTCACTGTAATTTAAATATAATAAATATATAATAAATATTTGATTAGCTAAGAAGAAAATAATCTATTCAAATAATAATACCATTACTCGGCATGTGTCGGCAATAATCGGTAACATCCCGCCCAGTTAAGTACCTTCCCACATAGGCCTCTAGTGTTCGCATGGCAAGCGAGACAGGTGTAGGTTAAATATTGATGCAGTTATTTTGTAAAAAGTCTGTGAGACTTGGCGCCACTACTCGCGTAACTGTTTTTGTGCTTTGTTGAAATTTGAGTCTTTTGTATTTTGGTAAGTAAATAAAGCATTATTTATTGTTATGTTGCTCGGTTAATACTTTGCATGAGAGAATATCTAGTATAATGTTAATTTTGTCATAAAAGTGTAGTTTTACATAAGTACACCAATCACATCTTCAGTAGATTATTTTATTTTTGTATAATTCATGCTCTCCACGTTATTTTTATTACTTTCAGAAATGAGTTGGGAAGCAGAGCAAAAAAGATTGCAGGCCCTATGTGATGAAGTACAACTTGAAGAAGATCTAGATGATGAGGACTTAGAACTGGCTGCGGATGAGGACGTGACTGAAACAAGAGACACCGATAGCGAGTCAGATCAAGAATATAATGATGAGGTCATTTCTCTTCAAACTGCAGAAATTCCAGGAGCTCATCATTTTCTTGGTAAGGATAATAAGGCAAGATGGAGAAAACACTGCACTAAGAAAACTTCACGAACTAGACAAGAAAACATAATTGTGCGTCTTCCTGGGGTACGAGATTATGGAAAACATGCTCGCTCCGAAATCGAATGCTGGTCGTTGTTTTTCTCAGATAAAATGCTTGAAGAAATAGTCGAAAAGACAAATTTGTATATTACGCGCATATCTGAAAACTATTCCAGAGATAGAGCGGCGAAATTAACAGACTTGCTTGAAATTAAAGCACTGTTTGGTTTGCTGTACCTTGCTGGGACTCTCAAAAGTAGCAAACTGAACACGAAGGAAATTTGGAATAGACAAGGAACTGGCATTGAAAGATTTTGGGTGACAATGTCCGAGCAGCGTTTTCGATTCCTCCTTACCTGTCTGCGATTCGACGACCTTTCTACTAGAGACGAAAGAAAGAAATTTGATAAGTTGGCACCAATAAGGTCAACTTTTGACAAATTTGTTAAGAACTGCAAAAATACTTACTGCATAGGAGCCAATGCAACCATAGATGAGAAGCTTGAAGCGTTTCGTGGACGTTGTGGATTCAAGCAGTACATCCCCAGTAAGCCAAACAAATATGGAGTTAAGATCTTTGCTCTTGTCGATGCTTCCACGTCATATTGTGCCAATTTAGAGGTATATGTAGGTACACAACCCGATGGGCCTTTCAAAACAAATAACGATCCTGTTAGCATTGTTTTACGCCTCATTGAACCTGTTTCTGGGACAAATAGAAATTTGACTTGTGATAATTGGTTTACCAGCGTCCCTCTGGTCGAGAAACTACTGAAAGAACACAGACTAACATTTGTTGGAACTTCCCACGGAATTCACAAATACCAGAAGTCGAGCTGCTTGTACATCCATGTTTGGGTTCCAGAAAGATATGACAATTGTGTCTTATGTCCCCAAAAAGTATAAAAATGTAATTTTGATTTCATTTTTGCACCATGATGATGCAATAGATAAGTCAACAAAAGAAAAAAGCAAACCTGAAATCATAACGTACTATAACCACACCAAGGGAGGCGTTGACAATTTGGACAAGCTTGGAGAAATACTCGTAGATGGCCAATGGTTATTTTCTATGCCTTACTAAATATAGCAGGCGTTAACTCGCAACTTATTTATATATAACATATATATGTATATATATATATATATAATATTCTGTTATAAGAAGACTATACCTAAGGAACCTTACACTAGAACTAACAAAACCACATTTAGTACGGCGATCATGTGAAACAAATGTACCAAGAGGAGTGAGAGAGAGGAGGCAGATTTATTCGGGAACACCTATGGATACTCAGCCATTAATGGACATTGCCCCTGGGAACAGAAAAAGATGATTTTTTCTGTGTAAAAGATTCTAAAACTAGATTTTACTGCGAAAAATTTAAAAAATTTGTTTGTCTCTCACACCTAAGAGCTTGGTGTTCTATTTGTTTAGAATCATTGCGTAATGATTAAAACTCGTTTTATGACCAATATATTATTTAGTGTTATCAAGAAAAACATTGTTTGCACTGTTCTTGTATTTTTGTTTCACAAATTCTAGGAATCACTTTTTTATCTTATTTTTTCTTTCTATAAGGATAAATTCTATAAGAATTTTGTATTTATTCGAACCATGTATAAAATATCTATTTCAGTTCTATCTCTTATGCTATTTATTTATTGATTTTAACGTAGTTTGTAATAATTTTATCTTTTATAGTTTTATTGACATCCTCTTAACCATATTTAAGTGTGTGTAATCTGTACTGTTTGTTATTATATGTATTGTTTGTCATTTATTTTCTTCTTGTAACTGAGCGCTTCTATTATATTGACTTGTGTAAGCACGTTCTGTGCAATAGCACCAATAAACCATTATTATTATTATTATTATTATTATTATTATATTTTATGTTACAATGTTAATATTTGATCAAAGAGGATGTAATTAAACATAGCCAATAATATATTTTTTTAAAAACTGCTTCGCATGTGTTTTTTTTAGCAGGGTCTGACAGACTTGGCGCCACCTCTGGTGTCATAATATACAGCACCACTTCCGGAAGGTTAAGATTATTCTCATCTCAAAACGAGACGACTCGGAGGAGATAGTCTAGTCAGCAAGAACCTGAATATTTTAAAAAACAATTCATCTGTCATACCCAAAATCTGCGGAATCCTTCTCACAATTGAGTATCTAGAAAATTACCATTTTTTTAAAAGATCATGGTTCCCTTACAGTATTTATTGAAGATGTAATGGTTGAAGCCGTGTCATAAGTTCTTTTAATTTTTGCTCAACATTCTGCGTAGAATCGTGCCGGCATTGAAATAAATCTGCGTTCAAACTGGTATTTAGGAGTGCGATTACGAAATCATCCTGAATATTTGTCCCATTTCCACAGATTTTTCACTTTTTGCGATTTTTTAACAGGTAGGTAATTCAGATTATTTTTGGGGATGTCAGAAAAAAAACGAATTTTCCCAAAATCGTATTTTCTCCTGACATTTGAAATGGGATTTCATCAATTCTGCCAGTGATGAGGGAATAAGTAATGCATTCAGAAGAACTGGAAGACGGTACCAAATCGAAACTAGATTTTCAAGACCAATCTCAGTAAAAATAAAAGAGCAAAAATCCAACACGGAACGGGGAGGAACAAATAAATCTGGGATAGCATAGAAGGTGTTTGATTGGTGTGTTGTTGATCCTGTGTCTATTTGATATAAGTGATCTAACGGAATAATTTCTATGTTGAAACTGATAAGTTATAATTCAGTAAAAAAATAGTGGCCTAGGGCCTAACAGCTTTGCTTCAGAATACAACTGATTAAATGGGTAGGGTGAATATGTGCCAGTGGTCGAACAGTTTAGACAAAAGTGGAATACAAAGTGTAATTACGAATTTTGTGTTCAAGATATCACAACTAATGCTTTTGGATTTTGTAAAATAAAAATCAAAAAGGTGCTATTTTGCCGGTACTCGGACAGAAGGCGCTATTAGTCGGCCGGCTAGTTTCCAATTGTCGGACAGGAATTGATTGGCCAGTTGTAGGTAAGAATTTTTAATGGTAGAATAGACATTTCAAATCAGCTTTCATTAAGACTTTGAGGAAAAGAAATTAATCAGACTCATAGTGAGTCCATTTAATATAGATATTTTCATCAAAAATACCTACAAACTGTGTAAAAATGAACAAGAAACTAATTTTTTACTTTAATTCGATCCCGCACTGTCCGCAATTTCCCAATATTTCTGACAACTACGACTGTTTCTTCCACCGACGATATATATATATATATATATATATAACTTGAGACGTGGTCATTGTCGTCTAAACCAGTTAGGTGAAAAATTAAAGCTTCCGCCTTTTGTTGGGTACTTCGACAAAATTTAAGCAAAGAGGACTCTTTATACTTTTTTAATTCTCTCTAGCTTTCAATGGACTTTGCCATCATCATCAGGAGCTGCAATTACAATGATAACAGTAGCAACAAAAGTGTAAAATGAATTTAAATTGAATCAACTTACAGTAGTATGTGAGGATGTTGCTAATTGTTGTTTTCGTATAGGATGAGGGAAACGTCCAGTAACATGGTGAGAGCTGGATACATGGTACAATGGTTAAAATTATATAAAATATGACAAGACAAGTTAAAGACAGATTAAAAATTATTTAGAAAACATTAGACCATTACGTCGTGAAGCCACTTGATGATTGCACAAAATGGTGGTCATGGTAATGAGTGAGAATAGTGAGATGAACCTTTGACAGAAGGCCGAAGGTTGTCAATGTTTGTGTTGAAAGATGGAACGAATTGTGGGCGTGTACCAAAACGTTGCCAAATCACTTTAGATGATGTGATTTTCAGAATGTTATATAAGAAATTGTTAAACCGACCAGAGGCAGTTGAATAAACTATATTTTAATTAATGGGATTTTTAAATTAACAATTATTAATAAATCGTGAGAAGAGAATTATTAGATTTTGAGTGGAATGAAATTTGTTGGTGGAATCGGCCAAAACACAGATTATATTTATGGTTGTGAAAAGTCGAAATTTGGGGAGATATGTAAGTTTTCCAATTATATATATATATATATACCTAAAAAATAGGAAAATAATGGGCAAAATCCGCAAAAAGAAGGAAAGTGGATTCGAGCAGAAAATAGGATAGGTAACCCGAGCGATACGTATTTCTGCTGGTTGGCTTCATCATGCCCGAAATGAATGCACATATGCAACTACAAAAGTAGATACACATGCTCATATATCCGGATACGGGTGTAACCTGAGGAAATAAAGATGGATGGGAAAAAAATCACACACGAAGTCCACAACAAGAGCCAACCTACACATTGTAGTATAAAATAGCTAGAAGACATCGAATTTTCAAGGCGACATCTAACCACAACCACGCGGCCGGTTATAGCCACTTGCTGTGGTATATATTTTCTGCTCGAATCCACTTTCCTTCTTTTTGCGGATTTTGCCCATTATTTTCCTATTTTTTTGTTATATACATTTCTCCGCATGATTATTTTCTCTTTATATATATATACAGATTCCGATAGTTAGGTCCTCCACTTTTTAGAGTCGATAGGTCCTCCGTTGCGCTAGGTCCTCCGTATATCTAGGACCTATCGCAAATTTCACTAGTCGGCCTGAGGGGCTCCCCTTTGTCATCCGGCAAAATTCCAGTGGGATGATCCAGATCGTGTTTTTTGTTAAATTTTGGTACCGTAGTTCCGGGCTTTGCCGTGCCGATTTGTTGGACTCATAGTCGCGCGGGTATTCAGCCCGTATACTTTCAATCAAGTCTACAGTGGATAGGTCATCTGCCGGGTATTCAGTATCTAGATCGTGGCTTTTAGGTCCTCCTTAATATTGGCATCGCTGTATTAGGCATTCATTAGAATTGTTTTGCAAGAGGATTGGATTTTCATCTTCCTAT